CCCCAAAACCCCAAAACCCCAAAACCCCAAAACCCCTACAAACAATCCTAAATTTGAATTTACAATTTAAATATAAGCTAAGATGAGTCTGAAAGACATAACAAACCTTCACCGCCAAGCTAGACTTCAGATGGGCAAAAATTTACATCACAATAATGACAGGAAGAGGGCTAGAGGTAAGCCGCCTTTAGGAGGGTAGAAGTATACCTTAGCATAGTGGGTTCATTATGAGACACAGAAAATAAAAATATTAGCACACAATTTATCATAGTTAAGAATATGAACACTCTTCGTAGCTTAGAACTGGAGAATAGGCAGCAGAGAATACAGGGGTTATGGCTCTGCAGTACCCCTGCCTCTTTTAGCTATGAAAGTAGCAAAGACATCTGACAGATTTTTAGAGGGCAAAACTACTGAAGACTCAACAATCTCAGAGACTAGTTACGAGCAGCCCGCCAAGAAGAAAAATCACAAGAGGAAATCCATAAGGGACATCTCTAAAGAGAATATTTCAAAGTAAGTACTATTGCTTATACCTGACATTTTACTTTACTGAATTTCGTTTTTACTTTGTTAATACAAAGTTTTAGTCTCGAAATTGTCTCTCTTATGTTTAAAAATATATGCAGGCCTTTAAAGAACTTTATGGCAAACGCTCATGGCAGGCTAAAGGATACCAAGCGCTGTCTGGTCAAGAAGAAGGGAGATAAGCGAAGAAATAAACCAAAAAGGAAATTTAAAAATGTAGTAGCTCTCAGAAATTCCTATGCACAACATCTCCGCCCCTTTGATAGAGATAACGTTCATAAAGCCAAGTACTGAGGTGAATATTGAGAACAAATTGAGGCTTTGAATCTCAATAAGGAAATTACCCGCTTTAAGACTTCTTTTGGCAATGGGACCAAGATCATCCAGAAGGATTACCTGACTCAGAACAACAGAAATATGTAAGTCAGTGAGCTAAATTATAGATTTGCCAACAATCTCTTTGGCTTCTTCATCTCTGCAGATGTATGTGACCTAAACACACTGTTCCTTGCGATACAGATATTTGACAGATATGCTTACAGATCGAAAGTCAATGCGAGAAACCTCAGTGTAGTGTGATTATCCAGCTTTTGGCTTGCCGAGAAATTTGAAGAAATTTACCCGACTCCAGTACCATTTTACATCAAAGCTGCAGACAAGAGAATAAGGAAACTCGACTTCGAAAGAAAGGAGAAAGAGATAGCCGGTGAGCTCAAATTTAGGTAAGGAAGGTCTCTCTAATTGTGTAGGATAAATTATTTCCCAACATCGTTGACTTTTCACAAGAGATTTCAGATGATCCTAAAGTTGAACAAGAAGCAAATTATGCTCTCCTCTTACATTCTTTTATGAAGTTTGACAGATTGCCAGATGGTGTTCGAATACCCCAGCACAGTCGCCTTAGCTAGCATTTGCTTGGCTTGCAAGAAGATAGATTCATCTTACAGGATACCCAAAAACCACCGTGAATGATTCTTCAAAACCTGTGAGCTTGAGGAATGAATCAGAACGCACACCCAGATGATCACTGGTAGGGGTCAGAGCTTATCAGGCTGTATCTTCTCCATAATGAAGAGCCTTAAAAGGATATGTGAAAGGGTAGTTTCTAACTCCACTCATTTTGAGTTTATACTAGCCAAAATGGAGAATAAGACAATCAAAAAGTTCTTCTTATCTGAATTCAAGCGGCAAATTCTGATCTAAAGATAGATTGGAGGTTCTACTCTACTAAAATTAGCCTATTGGGTTTCTAATAATCATTTCAATCTGCTTATCATTATCTGGGGTTTTGGGGTTTTGGGGTTTTGGGGTTTTGGGG